CCTCTCCTCTCTTCTCCCCCCTCCCCTCCCCTCCTCCCCTCCTCCCCTCTCTTCCTGTCCCCTCCTGTCTTCTCTCTCCTGCCTTCCCTTACCTCCCGTACCTTGTCAGGTTGAGTTCACAGTTAAAGTCTGCTATCTGGTGGATTTAGTCCTGAATTGGAAATTGAAGAAGAATGTCTTGGACTCTTTTGCTAATTTCCTTTGTAAACACTTGAAAGTTTTTCTGCTTCTCTGTGAACCCTGACTGCCTCTGAAAAAGGAAGAGATTATATGTTGTGTTTTTTTCCAAGATTTATGAAAACTAAAACATGTTGAAGTGAACTAGTGTTAATAATGCCTATCATTTTTTTCTATTCTTGTTTGTTTTCTTTTTTGAATATGGAGAACATTAATATGCTTCCAAAAGCCCAACTTACTCTAAAAGGTATATGTGAAGGGGTATCTCTTCCTCTTGTAACCCTTCTCCCAACCCCTTGTGGATAACTTCATTAGTTTCTAGTTTCTCTCTCTCTCTCTCTGCAGAAATTAACATATGCATTTATATTTTCTTATTTCCTCTTTTTCTTACACAAAAGGTAGAATACTATACATACTATTTTAGACTCTGCCTTTTTCACTTAACAGTGAATCCAGGAAATCACTCTGTCTGAGTTCAGAAAGATATTCCTCATTTTTTTTCACAGTTGCATGGTCTCCAATGTGTGTACGTACTACCGTTTACGTCAACCAGTTTCCAATTTGGAGGCATTTAGGTAGTTTTGGTATTTTTGCAGTTACAAATAATGCTGCAATGAATAATCTTATTATCTTCTGCATACATGTTTTTTGTATTGTTGGAGGTATATCTTCAGGGTAGAATCTTAGAAGTGGGATTATTGGATCAAAAAGTATAGACACTCCCTTCACAGCAGTTGTACCGTTCTGAGTTCCCTCCAGCACTGAACGAGGTTTCGGTGTCCTTACAGCCTTCCCAACAGAATGGGTGGTCAGACTTTTGAATCTTGGCTAGGAGGATGGGTGAGAAATGGTATCTCAATGTAGTTTTAATTTGCATTTCACTTATTATGAAGTTGAACATTTTTCCATATATTGAAGTCCATTTCTCTTTGTTTTGTGAATTTTTCTTGTCTTTTGTCTGTTTTTTTTCTTGAAGGATTTTACTCTTTTTCTCTAAACTTATATATAATAATAACTAATAATATATAAATGTATGTGTAATTTGTATGTTAATATTAGGGACAGTAGCCATTTATCTGTGTGTGGCACATATTTTCTTCTAATTCATCGTCCTTTAACTTTGCTAATATGTGTTTTGCCATGGAAAAGTTTAAAAGAATTTTTTGTGGCCCTATTTATTACATATTTTCTTAAAAACTGGGTGTTAGAAAGCCTTTTCCCATGCCCGCAGTATGGAGTGATGCCTCTTGTTTGTTGAGGGCTTGCCAGGTAAAGGTGCTGCGCTTTGTAAAGGTGCTGCAGGTGACCTTGCACTTGGTGTGTTCTGAGTTCCAGTGTCCTCATCTCTGAAGATGTTATCTCTAAATAGCATCTACATCCTAGAGTTGTGAGAATTACCTGAGTTCATACCTGAAAGGGCTTTGAACAGTTCCTGACACATAGTCAGTGTTGGATCAAGATCAGATATTTAATTACTGTACCACATAGTATTTCAGTTTTAAATATCAATATTATAACACCATTCTTTAAATTAAAGCAAAATTCTGGCATCACCTAAATGTTGTTTGTATTTCTTTTACTATAGGTCTTAAAGCTCACCATGAAACAGTGTCTTGTATTTTACATGCTTTGTCTTATTGTAGCTTAAATCAGATACTCAGATCTGGGGTTTCTGGGGAAGGGCTCAAGGAGGAAAGTTTGGGACATGGCAAGAGCAGATTAACTATAATTTTAAACCATCAATGCTCATGTTTTGTTAGTTAAATATGAATAATTACAGTTAATTACAGTTATTGATGCTTCTAAAATGTGGTATTCATAAAGTAAACTTTTTTTGTTACTAGAGTTTCCTAGGGATTGAATTCAACATTTTATAAATGCTTATGGTTTCCAGGCTCCATGTAACTGTGCTGCAAAGTTCATACTGTGTGATGTCCCCTGCCTGTAGTAGAATCCTTTAATTTTCAGGAAGAGTGCTTGGTTACCAGAGAATCATTGATAATGCCTTGAATTGGAAACATTTTTGGCTCCTGCTTATGCTTGCTATCTAATGATAAATTGTTACTATTTTTTTAAGTGAGAGACTATCAATTTCTTTTTTTAAGATTTTATTTATTTATTTGTCAGAGAGAGAGAGAGAGAGAGCACAAGCAGGGGGCATGGCAGGCAGAGGGAGAGGGAGAAGCAGGCTCCCCGCCAAGTAGGGAGCCTGATGTGGGGCTCAATCCCAGGACCCTGGGATCATGACCTGAGCCGAAGGCAGACGCTTAACTGACTGAGGCACCCAGGCACCCCTCATTTCATTTTCTTTACCACACTTAACATTATTTAAAATTATCTCGTTTGCCTATTATTGTGTGTGTCTCCTGCACTAGAAGGTAAGCTCCGTGACAGTGGGGACTGTGTTTAATCTTTTCACCATCGTATCACGATATAAGCACCGCCATAAATACAGACTGGATGAATGAATTACTGTCAATATTCATTTCTTTGGGCCTCCGGTTCATCATCCTGATGCGGGGGTTGGGCCCAGAACATCTCTCAAGTACTTCCTGGATTGTTTATAAACACTAAAAGTTCTACCTGGCCTTGGCATTTTCTTAGGAGCTAGGGAATGGGGCCAGTGATTTCAGCTCACCTTCTGAGCGGAGTGGCTGATGGAAGTCAACACGATGGCGCCCCCCCAAGTACGTCATTTCACCGGTTGAACTCAATTGTATTTCAAAGTCGTGGACAAAAGCTTCTTGGTATAATGGTTTTCATTATGAAATCAGTGTCTCATTTCAGAGACTTTGTTTTTTCTTTTGCCATCACATTTGCCAAACTCTAAATATACTGTAGTTGTTTTTATTTTTTAAGAAATTAAAGTGGTTTTGGCATGAGTCATGATTATATTATTTAAATGTCATTTATGAACAGCGCATTGTTTTACTTAAATCATGCTTGGCCCAGGAGCCTTGTAACCTAACCCATTGTTTTTTTGGTCAAAACAACAACTACATCATTGAATGAAGTCTCTTTTGCTGTCAGAAAGAAAAATAGAACTGTAAAACGAAAACTGTTTTTGATAAAGACTGGAAATCCTGTCAATTGGAGATTTAAACCACTTGTTTTCCTCGAATATTTAAAAATGGAACCTGTGGCTCCATTTTTCAAGTGAGACTCAGACCGAGCCTAGTTGAAAACACGTTATATTTTTTTCTGTTGAAATAAAAACAGGAAAAATAAGTTTCAGAATTCTTTTTTTTTAAAGATTTTATTTATTTATTTGAGAGAGTGGGCGAGAGAGAGTACACGAGTGGGGGGTGGGGAGGTGAAAAGGGAGAGGGAGAAGCAGACTCCCCTACTGAGCAGGGAGCCCGACGTGGGACTGGATCCCAGGACCCTGGGATCATGACCTGAGCTGAAGGCAGATGCTTAACTGACTGAGCCACCCAGGTGCCCTCAGGTTGCAGAATTCTGATGCTGTTCGGGTCATCACAAGAATGGCTAGAGGCAGTAGTGAAATTACCGAAAAACTGAAAAACCTGGGGAAGTAAGTTCTTGCTTTCCATATTCCATATCATACAGAGTAAGGACGTTGATGATGATTACTTTTCTTTTAGTACAGGAACTATTTTTATCAGCTTTTTACCAGAGGAAGTGAGTGATAGAGTCACAAGGAGCTGATTTTACTTCTTTTCCTTATATGTAATTTTGACACTTGAGGTAAACCAAGTCAAATTATGTTCAGGATTTTTTTCTATGTCTTTCTATGAATAGTATTTTCATCTTTATTATGATAGATTGTAAATATTTTACATTCATGGCTATTCCAAAGAAAATTCATGACCCAGGAAGTGTGTAGCTTGTCTGGCCCTTTATAAACAACAGTTCATGGGTCATTATCCTATCAGGCTCTTGACTTCTTCTGTATTTTAATATTCAGAAGTGTCTGTTAATTTCTATTGTACTATTGCTTTCTAACTCCAGAGCTATTCATGAAACTGTGACCTTTGGGCAATACTCTTATTTCCTCATAAACTTTTGGAGAAAATCGTATTTTTACCTTTTTCACCTATTATGAAAAGTCTCCAACTGAAGTGACTACACTTGACTGTTGAATTGTTGTATTAATAGTAAACATCACAGCCTAGTCAACGGTGTCCTTTACTGCTTGTGGAATGGTTGATTTGCAGGAGAAGCACTGATGGTTCTCCAACGATTCATGGCTGATTTATGTGAGGAAGGCAACCTCACAGGATGTTCCTACTGGGAGAGTCATATAAGTTCCTCTCTCTAGGTTCTGATTCTCTCCTTTGTTTTGCTATGGGAGCAGAGCTGGAGGTGTGGAATCTCAGTTTCATCTAAGCCAGCTCAAGAAATGTACTCCACAACTGGAGATTGTCTGTGAGTCCTCCCCCTCCTCTGGGCTTGGCAGCCCCTGATAGAGGAATGGTGCTAGTTGTTGATATTAATGGGGACTGTTGGAGGTCAGCCACCTGAGGGGTAATTTCCATAAGCACTGATCTCATCTGCATGATCTCATCTCTCTGGTTTTATAATAACATACTTGGAACTGCAGTTGTTGACGTGATTTGGGGGCTTGGAGCACATGGTCCTCTCTTTAGAAGCTGGTCCTTCTTTTCCCAGAGACATTTCCTGTAGTGATGGTGGGTCCTGAAAGCTTTCTTTCTTTTTTTTTTAAGACTTTATTTATTTGACAGAGAGAGACACAGCGAGAGAGGGAACACAAGCAGGGGGAGTGGGAGAGGGAGAAGCAGGCTTCCTGCAGGGGGA